GCGATAGAAAGCACAAATATCTCAAAAAATCTTTCCAATATATATATGACGTCAATATGTTTTGATTAAAAAATTATTTATTTATTTTTCATAAATGAGAAATTAAATAAGGGTGAATTTCATTAATTAAATTTGAAATTGAAAAAAAATAATAAATTTTGATTAATCCTTTCATAAATATTATAATCATTTTTTTTAAGATAAATAAATTTTTAGACGTCCAAAATTTAATTATAATTATAATGAAAATATAAATAATATGAATTTTAATTATACCTTCGTATATTTTACATACAATTCATCATATAGATTTTTTGTAGTAATATTTTTCTTACTTCTACATTAAAGTTTTTGTATTATATATAAAATAATTAAAAAAGTAATGTATCCCTCATGAATTGTATCCTAATTTTTTGAGATAATGGTCCAATTTGTTCATATATAAGGAATTATTATCCAATGTGTCTTCTATTTTAAAATGACTCGATCATATTCATGTTTTAATTTAGTTTTCAATTAGCTTTTTTGCCCACGCTACGCTACGAGTTTGATAAAAATATATAAAATCGTTTAAAAAAATTATTTTAGTTTAATAGTCCGCTTTATGGTGTGAATCTATAAAAATATATGAAATCAAATGTGAAAAAAAATTATTTATAATTTTTTAATAAAATTTGGTATTTAACTATTTCTTATTTGTGTTTTTCATAATTTTTCCTTTAGAAAAAGGATTTATCCTTGTTAATCCATGGATTATTAACCGAAAAGAAAATTAAATAAATGTTTTTTTAGAAAGCTTTAGTATTTCATAAGATTGCGACTGAAAAACGAAATAATAATTATTAAAAGCTTACATAGAATTGAACAAATAATTTTTTTTATTTAATATTGATGATAATATCAGTTTTTGAAAAAATATGAATTTAATTTTTATATATTTCTTTTTACAAAAGAATGAATAATATTAAAATAAAAACTATATTAATTTGAATTATTGAGTTGTCAAGCCAAAACATAATTTTAATTATTTAATTTAAAATAAGTTAATTTTAAAATATTCATAAATAAATAAATAAATAGTAAATGCTTAGGGTAGTGGTTGCACAATTAATTTCTAACAAATACAATGATTCAATATTTTATACTAAGTGAGTTTAGAGTTTTTAGTCTAAAAAAAAAAACAAAATACTATTAAAAAAAAATAACATGCAAGAAATCTATTGACTAAATTGGAGGTTAATAGACTAAAATAAAAATTATTACAAATTTGATTTTGATTAATTTTGATTATATAAGACATGTGAATTCTTTTTTTTCCTCCTTCTTAAATAATTTTTTTTTTAATTTCTATGCTATGCATGGCTAGTCCTTGAATACAAACTTCAAACACAGAGAAACCATCTTTTTTTTTTCACATTTAAATTTCAATTATTAATTAACTAATTTGAGTTTTCTTTTAAAAAAACAAAGAAAAAATTATTTAAAATACAATTTTAATTTAAAAATATATTTCAGAAAAATTATATATATTAATCATACCACTATAATTTAAAAATTATCTAAATCTATTTTTCAAAAGAACTAAAATTATGTTTTAAGAATTTATTCCAAAATCCATACATATAGAAAAATAAATCAAAAGTGTCGAGTAAATATGATTTTAAATTGATTAGATGAGGATTTAAAAAAAATGACAAATTAAAGTAGTAAATTTTAAATAATAAAAATAATTAACAAAAAGCACTAAAATAAAATGGGACCAAATCACAATACAATTAAAATTTGAAATTGAAAAAAAAATGTATAGAAAAATTGAGGACCATAAAATTTTAAATTAATTAGATGAGAATCCAAAAAAAAAAAAATGGCAACTTAAAATAGTAAATTTTAAATAAAAAAATATTTAACAAAAAAATTCAAACAAAATGAGACTCGAATTATAATATAATTAAAGTTTAAAATTGCAAGAAAAAGTATAGAAAAATTGAGGACTAAAAATGTATTTCAGAAAAAATTATATATATTAATCATGCCACTATAATTTAAAAATTATCTAAATCTATTTTTTCAAAAAAAAAAATCATGTTCTAAAAATTTATTTCAAAATCCATTATATAGAAAAATAAATCAAAGCTGTGAGTAAATAAAATTTTAAATTAATTGGATGAGAATTTAAGAAAATAAAAAATAGAAGTAGTAAATTTTAAATAATAAATATAATTAACCAAAAACACTAAAACAAAATGGGACCAAATCATAATACGAATAAATTTACAAATTGAAAAAAATGTATAGAAAAATTGAAGAGCATATAACTTTAAATTAATTGGATTAGAATTTAAAAAAAAAAGAAAAATTAAAGTAGTAAATTTTAAATAATAAAATTAATTAAAAAAACTAAAACAAAATGAAACCAAATCACAATATAATTAATTTTTAAAATTAAAAAAATTAAAAAAAATGATAGATTAAAGTAGTAAATCTTAAATAATAAAAATAATCAACAAAAAACATTAAAACAAAATGGGACCAAATCATAATATAATTAAAGTTTCAAATTGAAAAAAAAAGTATAAAAAATTTAAGGACCAAAGTGTTAAAAAATATCATGAATAGTGAAAGAAATACTGATTTTTGAATGTGTGAATAGTAATTTGTGAATGTATGAATAGTATTTCAAATAGTAAATGAAAAGTAAAACAAATTGTTTTACTTTTAGTTTTATGTATAATATAATGTATAATATATCTTTTTAGTGAATTTTTTCAACAAAACCTTGGAAAAAAATACCTCTAGAAAAAAAATTATATGACTTGCTCATGACCCTTTGTTTCTCGAAAACTCCGCTCAGTTGAACATGTGCATTTCATGTGATATTTTGGAAGGATATTTTTGAAAAACAAAATCATATACAGGTCACATTACTTTTTTTCGAGAGTTGATAAAAAAAATACATTAGAAAAATATATTAAAATCAATTAAAATACAAATATATAATCAATTCATTTTATGATACAAGACATATTAGATATTAATTTCATTAGATAAGAACAGACTAAACTAATTTTTAAAATTTTTTTTTTGGGATTGTCGTATCTGTGTCTTGTCATATTCGTATTTGCGTCCATACTACATGGTTTGATAATCATACACCTATTATAAGGAATATTTTGTTAGATTCCTACTCAAATTCAGTTACAACTTCCAATCTATCTCCCTGGAGGGAGGGAGGGAGGGAGGAGAGAGAGAGAGTCGGCGGGTTAAACGGTGAATGCTAGAGACCGGTACTGTGGTGGAGGAGGCAAATGACAAAACTGAAAAGGGGCAAAAAAATTTATTGGCAAAAAAAAAAAAAAAAAAAAAAAAAAAAAGAAGAAGGAAATTAATGTATTTTTATTTGTATCCATATAAAAAGATAAAACATAAACGGACTAGAAGGGAGTTCAAAATAATAAAGCTCTCAATAACCATCTTCTTTGTAACCTAGCTTTGTACCTATAGGAGGCATAAATGGTGTAGTGTTGCAATGGTGGTAGCAACCATTTTTAAAAACAAATATTAAAAAATAATTATTAATATTTATTTTATTAATTTATTTTGAAAAGTGAGAAAAAAAATTAATTGAGAGCAATATATATATATATATATGTTTTTTTGTTTTTGCTCTTTTCGGTTTATCTATCTTTTTTTTTTTTTTTTTTGCTATCTATCTTTGTTTTATAAAATAAATATTGATAATAATTTTTTGAATAAAATAAAATTCCTGCATAGCGAAAACTGCAAATAGCAGTACGATAAGAATTAATCTTGTATAGAGAGAAAATGGAAGATTGAAAATTAATTTTCAATTGTACGTAAGGGTTTGAAGCATTTTTGTACAAAAACTTTACCGTAGGAAAATAATTGGGAAATGCAGCTATTAAACGGTACCTCTGATGAAAAGATTATTATTAAATAATTAGATTAATTAATTAATTTTGATAAAAACTAAATGGACGATTCCAAAATTTTGAAAACAAGCAACGGTGTCCAACGAGCCACTCTCACAGTTCACAAAATAGAATTTGGTGCCTAATCAGCAAACCATATTCTGGCACAGATATGAAGTTTGCGCACATATGTCGGGGACCATTCCATGAGCCTTCTTAAAGGGTAATTTGGTAATTGGAAAGCCCAAAAAATGAAAACTAGGGTCACTGCCTCTGATGGTTGGGTCTGGAAGTGGCATGCCAAATCAGACAAAATGTCATTTTTATCGACACGTGTCTTTCAGGATACGCCGGGCAGTAAGAATCCAGCGTGTGTCATAATTAAGAGGAAGACAATGTTGCCTACCGTCCACTCCCAAGGATGTGGACTGACTGACTATAACCGGTTACTTTTTAGGACCCTAAAAATGAACGGTTCTGATTTCTCCGTTTACCTAGGATGACTTTACTTTCTCCGTTTACTTCATTTCTTTAGCTCCCTATGTCTCAAGCTCTTAACTCATTAACACAATATAAACAGTGAACACACTGAACCCCAGTCTCTCTCTCTCTCCCTCCCTCTCTCACACACAGGGTTGTTATGAGGTATGCTATTTTTCTTGACTGGGTAAATTTTGATCATTTTCAAGCTGTCTTTCCTGAAGTTAATCGATCAGTTGACTTTCAAAAAATTAAATTAAATTAATTACTCCTGATTTTGATTTTGATTTTAATAATAAGCTTAATAATAGTCGTTTTTGTTTTCGTGGAAAAAGAATTCACAAATGAAATTATTCTGATAATCTTGTTGCGTTTGTCTGTTTATTAGTAAATGCATGATAGTTGGTTGTGATTCTTGATTTTTTTGGAGGTTTCTTGATCTGTTTTATGGTGTCTTGTTATGGTTTTGCGACTTCACTTTGAATTCTTTGAGTAACAGGAAAGGTTTTTTTCCATCTTTTTTTTTTTTTTTGGTTGAACAGTCTGTTTTGTGTTGGAGGGGAGGGTTTGAATTTTGTTTTTCTAAGTTCAATGGATCCTCGGTTAAGAGGTTATTCAATTTCAATGAATGGAATCCAACTGGGGAACCAACCTATATCCGTGCTTTCAAATCAGAACCTTGTTTCAAGACCCAGATTCGAAAATACTTCCGTTGATCATAATTGTAGGGAGTTTCATTACATTACGCCCGATCCAAAGCCAACTAATGTAACCCCATATTCAAATCTGACTCACGAAGAAGACTCTTCCAAAGATTTTGACTTTTCAGATGTAACTTTGAGGTACATAAGCCAGATGCTTATGGAAGAAGATATTGAAGATAAGACTTGCATGCTTCAAGACTCTTTAGATCTTCAAGCTGCCGAAAAATCCTTCTATGATGTTCTTGTCAAGAATGACCCTCCTTCACCAGAGCCAAACCCCACTTACATCGGTCAAAATCAGGACAACCTGCATGATAGTTTCCCTTGTAATTATATTTCTACTAGTCGTAGTGATAGTGGCTATTTAGATGATAATGCTTGTATTCACAATCCTAGTGATTACATTTCCTTTCAACTACAGATTCCCCATGTTTCTAGCATATCCCAAACATCACATAGCTCTTCAAACAGTGTAATCACTACTGTTGATGGGCTGGTGGATTCTCCTAGCAGTACTATTAAGTTCCCTGATTGGAACAGTGAGAGCCAATCTATTTTGCACTTTAGGAAGGGTGTCGAGGAGGCTAGCAGATTTCTTCCTAGTGGTAATGACTTGTTTCTTAATATTGAGGCCAATAGGTTTTTATCTCAAGAACCGAAGTTGAGGACTAATGAGGTTGCTATCAAGGTGGAGAAAAAGGATGCAGGGGACTGCTCACCTAGTGGGTCTAGGGGAAAGAAGAATCCTCACCGGGAGGATGGGAATGTTGAAGAAGAGAGGAGCAACAAGCAACTGGCTGTTTATACTGAATCCGCTTTGCGATCAGATATGTTTGATAAGGTTTTACTTTGTATGCCAGGAAAAGGTCAGCCTGATTTGACAGCTCTTCGTCAGACCCTCAAGAGTGCATCAATAAAAAATGAGCAGAATGGACAGGCAAAGGGATCCAATGTTGGGAAGGGTCGTGGTAAGAAGCAAAGTGGGAAAAAGGATGTGGTGGATTTGAGAACCCTTCTAATAAGTTGTGCACAAGCTGTTGCAGCTGACGATCATAGGAGTGCAAATGAATTGCTAAAGCAGATTAGGCTGCATTCCTCTCCTTTTGGGGACGGAAATCGGAGATTGGCTCATTGCTTTGCTAATGGTCTTGAGGCACGCTTGGCAGGTACTGGAAGCCAGATTTACAAAGGCCTTGTTAGTAAGAGAACGTCTGCAGCTGATATCTTGAAAGCTTACCGTCTTTATATTGCTGCATGTCCTTTTAGAAAAGTCTCCAATTTTGTCTCTAACAAGACAATAAAGATTATGGCAGGAAATTCAATGAAGCTTCATGTTATCGATTTCGGCATCCTTTATGGTTTCCAGTGGCCCACCCTTATTCAGCGGCTGTCATGCAGACCAGGTGGACCGCCAAAGCTTCGGATGACTGGAATAGAATTTCCCCAACCTGGATTTCGGCCAGCAGAGCGAGTTGAGGAAACTGGACGTCGCTTAGCAGCTTATGCTAAGGAGTTCGATGTGCCCTTTGAATACAATGCCATAGCAAAGAAATGGGAAACCATACAACTAGAGGAACTCAAGATTGACCGGGATGAAGTTGTTGTTGTTAACTGTCTGTATCGGGCTAAGAACTTACCTGATGAAACGGTGGCAGTGAACAGTCCAAGAAGCATTGTTCTTGATTTGATAAGGAAGATAAATCCTGATATTTTTGTTCATGGGATTACCAATGGAGCATACAATGCCCCTTTCTATGTTACTCGATTTCGAGAGGCACTGTTTCACTTTTCTGCAATGTTTGATATTCTTGAGACTAATGTGCCCCGTGAAGATCTGGAGAGGATGGTGATTGAGAAAGAGATTTTTGGTAGGGAGGCTCTGAATGTTGTAGCTTGTGAAGGCTGGGAGAGAGGGGAGAGGCCAGAAACATACAAGCAATGGCAGGTCCGTTGCTTGAGAGCTGGGTTTGTGCAGTTGTCTTTTGACCGTGAGATAGTGAAGCAAGCAACTGCTAAAGTGAGGCAGCATTACCACGGAGATTTTCTAATTGATGAAGATAGCCGGTGGCTGTTGCAAGGATGGAAGGGACGAATCATTTATACACTTTCTGTTTGGAAACCTGCTAGCAAAGCTTGAGCACATTTTTAGTGGTACTTGGGATTTGCTTCTCACATCTTAGGCATTCGAATGGAGAATTGGAAATAAATTTATGATCGTAGGTAATGCTTATCCATTAAATTCTTTTCATCTCGGTTTCTTGTCTGCGTTCTTGTTTTACATGCCATTACAGTTTGACTCATTTGCTTGCTTGAGGCATTTCTGGTGGATGATACTAATGGTTGACTGATATGTAGAATGCTAAGAACATAATTAGTCAGAATGAGAAGCGAGCAGTGCATACTAACCAGATTTTTCTTTTCATTTGGTAAAGCAATCTTGAAAGCTTAGTTTTATTGGGAAATTCACTTTGTAATGGATGGACTTAGCTCAAAGCAAAATAGGTAATCTGACAAAATGAATTGATGCAAAATGCTTACAATCATGTGTATATTATAAGCTAGAAGGAAAAGAAATTTTTTTCTTATGAATTTGAAGACCTATGTATCTTTTTCTCCATTTCTCTACTCTCTTACAAGATTGGTCCTTGAATGGAGAAGGCATCGTGGAATGATATGTAGTACGCATATTTGTCAGCTTATTAAGCCTCACAAATAAGCAAAAACGCTAGCGAGCGTTCTTCATCGTTAATAGGTTCTAGAGCTTGCTCACCACTTATGATATACCCAATGTGTGTCTAGTTTTTACTTCTTTTGTTTTTTGTTTTTTGTTTTTTGTTTTTTTTGGTTGTGTTTTATAATTATTGCATGGAACTTTGAACAGGATACCAACGCAAAACTTGGAAAAGTTACGAGTAGCCCATAGAGTTTCTCAAAAACTACCCTTCTAGAGCTTTGAGGTCGGTGTCTTGGTTGCGTTGGCAAAAATTTGGAGATGGATAAATTTTGAAAGTTAATCTCTCTCTCTCTCTCTTTCTCTCGATATATATATTCTTTTTTTCTAGTTTCTTTGTCCAAAATGGTCTCTAGAATTTATCATAATAAGCAATAAACAAATCTTGTGTGAAAACTTTAGATGCCGAGATAAAATTAAGGATCATTAATATCGTAAAGAGCTGACGGGGACCTGGGAGTTTGATTGTTGTTTTTGTTTTTTCGTTGTTATCTGTTTCCTTGCTTTATATCCAAGACTGATCGAAAAAAAAAAAAAAAACGACAGCTCTCTTTTACTTTGGCAACAGACACACAACTCATACATGCACTATAAATTGGCGAACAGAGCCAAATTCTTCATCTGCGCTACTTCATTTTCAAGTATCAACAGACCATACACCTCGTGGCTTCGTGCCAGCACCACGAAAAGTAAGGTTGTGTGATAAAACAAAGCAATATTTTGTCCAATCAGAACTAGAATTGTATCAAACTTGGTTAATATAGATTATATATAGTCAGCGTTCCAGAGATATCTAAAATTGGGTTGAGAGCTGATAGTGGTTGTCGTCATTAACTGACACCTCTTTTAGTGGGACAGATATTAATTGAGATCGAGACAAGACTCAACAGTCCCACCATAGAGTGAAAATGATTGGTCAAGCAAACTGAACCATTCACATGCTACCGCTGATTGCTTGTTTCCAGATCCTTTCTTTACACTATTACCAGTACTCCTTTGGTTGTTTGTTTTGTTTTGCGATTTATTTTGCTTTCTCAATTTACCGATCAGCATTACATTGGATGAACAAAAGACATATGATACAGACTATTTGCTGTTTGAAGAAGCTACAAAATCTGAGTTACGCATGATGGAACAACGCTGGATATTAATAAAGTTCACGATCATATGTGACAATGTGTACTGTGACTTCAGAATCTTCTATCACATCTCATTGGTCCCACGACTAATTCATATGACCCCAAGCTCTGCTTCAAACCGTGTTTACAAATGCCATTCCCCTGGCAATAGAATTTCTGGTAGAAAAAAGAAAAGAAAAGAGAAGAAAATTGTATCATGCTTTCAAAAATACCCTATAATTTTTTTTTCCCTCAAACAACCAGTAGGACGGGTCTACAGAAACTTCCAAAGAATACAATTATAATGATGTTTTGGAGTTTCTTGGACGAGAATACCTAACAAATAAACTCAGTTTGCAGATTGTAGTGAAAAATTATCACAATTGCCAATTTGGCAAATTGTGCTGACCAAAAAGGTGAGAATCTTCTTAACTGCAAGTTATCAGCGATCTATGGATGGGCACCAATATATGAACTGCCTTCTTTCATAGGGCAAAAACATCAATTCTTTGTTGAAAAGAAGAAACAGGCACTACAACAACAAAATGACGGTATAGAGACTATTCTTGAGGCGATTTACAGAACTGTCTCAAAGTTTGTTAATATATTAAGGTGCTATTTACCAATTCGGGATAGAGTGGTGGAAATAAGAATGAAAATTTTATTCTTACATTATAGTTATTTAGTTAAAAGTAATGAAGTGAGAATGTGAATGAAAATTTACATACAACTTCATTCCCATATAAGACGTGAGAATAAAAATAAAGAATGATAGTGAATTTTTTTTTCAAAATAATAGTGTATTTTATTTATTTATTGTCTATTAACTACTTTTACCACCATCACCACCACAATCATGACTACCACCACCACCACAACCACCATAATCACCACCATTGCAACCATAATCACCACCACTACCGCAACCACCACAATCACTATCGCAATCATTACAATCACAACCACAACCATCACCATCACCACTATTATAACCACCACAATCACTATCATAACCATAATCATCACCATCACCTTAATTATTTTTACAACCATTATAGTTTAATAAAATTATTTTTTTAATCATTATTTTTATTTATATAAAAAATTAGATATTAACAAATTTAAATTGCATTCGATTCGTTATTAGTATTCCAAACACGGTATTAGAATACAAATACCATTCGATTCTTTAATTTTCATTCCGATTCTTGCATTTCCATTCCCATCACTATATTCCTAATTATCAAACGACACCCTAAATTTTAAAAAGGGGCGCTAATTTTATTTCTAATGTTTTATTTATTTATTTTTGGTTCTTAAATGGGGAAGGGCTCTTTATCTTCTCTCTAATTTTTAATTAGGGTTTTCAACTTCTTATTCTTTTGCTTGAATCATTCTCCACGATCTGCTTCTTCCTTCTTCTCATCTCGTTTCTTCATTTCTAAAAGGGTATTGCCTTCTTCACCTCTAATTCTTCTCCTTTGCTTCTTCTTTTTTTCTTTTTTCTTTTTTTCTTTTTTTTGTGGAAGGGAGAATAGACGGTTCATATACCTCTCCTCTTAGGGTTTTCTTTCTTCTCTACTTCTTTCTTTTTCTCCTTTGTTTCTTTCTTCGCTTCGTCCTTCTTCTCTTCTGCTTTTTCTTCTTCTCCTCTACCTCGTCCTTCTCTCTTTCTTGTTAGAAAATAAATTATACCTATCTATCAATAATTTTAAGAGTCTTTCTTATCCATAAATCGACTTATTTTAAATCAATTGGGTACTCATTGTTGATTTTTTCATTGATCGCTCTAATGTAAGTGTGCTAAATTAATTTTATGGCCAATGAATTAGATTATTTTTAATTTTTTTATTTGTGCTCTTTTCTTTTCTAATTACCTTTAAATTTTTTATTTTTAATGAGTATTTTACAACCAAGAGAATCATAATTTCCTTGTTTGTCATGTTTGGTGTTGTAGGTATGTGCTCTGTATAAGGCTTGGTTTGTGCTAGGATTGGTTTCAATTGATGATGGCATGCTCTTAATATTGCTTGGCTTGAAGATCCTATAGAAGTCACCTGTTTGTGCTAGAGAAACCTCGCTATATCTCTAAATATGATTAGAAATTCGTTAATCAAGCATCTAGCCTTTTTTTAAAACCTTCACAAGTTTTAACATTGTCACCTTTTATCCTCATTATAATGCTCCCAATGTTATTTTAGTTTGTACCAATATAGGAATCTATGATCGTAATGGTTAGATTGTTACAAACTTCAATTGCAAATGGCTAAGACATGTTTGAAAGATTTCCCATAGAAATAAGGAGAGGAGTGGAATAACCTTTAGCCTTACATCGAAATCCAACACAATGTTAAAACAAACACACTGTCTAGGGTTGTTTATACATGAACTTTTGTTTTGAATTTGTTTTGAATTTATCCAATAGCTACGATGCATTCCTTCTTTTTTCTTTTGATAAGTCGGACATACTACTTGCTTTCATGTTTTGGAGAAACAAACTTAAGCACGATTCCTCTTAGTCCTTTAGGCTCTTGGAGTGAAATCTGCTGCAATTGTTCGAGGAAAAAGAAAGTATCCAAAAAGCTTAAGAAAGCGATATGTATGGAAAGAGATGGAGGAATGGAAGTCAATTCCTTCAAGTACTTGCCTAGTTCCTAGTTTTGAACAACCAATTAGAGTTGTTATCCCATTGAATTCCCATCAAATTTTGCTACAATAACATGCCATTTTATATGGTTGTTTAAATAATGCTCATATGCATGTTCCTAAATAGATAATGAGTACAAAATGGTAGTTTATTTTTTTGTCAAAAAAAGGCATGTTACACCATACATTCTTTCATCAATTTCCATTGTGGAATGACTAAAAAGAAGCATAATGCAATAGAATCTTTATCATTTTGGAAAAAGAGGCAAGCTCTACTTCATTACTTGTGTCAATTTTCATGATGTAATGACTAAAAAAATCATAATGCATGTGTAGTTATATGTACAATATATATAATAGGATAAAATTCATGACTTGATATTTTTTTTATGGAGTTGTAGCATTGTCTTGATGACTATTCAATCATTCATTCCTTCCTAGTTATGCATTTGGAATTGAAGATCTACTATACTATGTGAAGAGGGTTGAAGAAACACTGTTTGATCTAGACTTTGGAGCTCTTAGCGATACTTTCCTGTGAATGTGGTTACGTCCGGAATCCTCAAAATAAAGCAAGACCTTTTTGGTAATTATATATATTTTTTATATAATATTAGAATTTAGAGTTGTTCTAGTTTCTTGTTTGCCTATGTTTAATAAAGTTTATTGAAGAGTAGATATCAAATATATTATAATCGAGTTCCTTATCTTGCCTCATATAAGATTAAGATTTCAAGAAGTTACATATGTCGAGGTTTGGCATGTCGATGTTAGTGTCTTTTCTGTTTTTGACTCAAGTTCTAATGAACTCTTGGGTTATTTCTACCTTGATATATACATGAGGTTTGCTTCTTACTTGGGTTTCTCAATCTAGTTTTGACTTGTAGGTTTCTTTTTTGAAATAAATAGGGTTATTTTATATGACGGGGAGGGAAAGTATGGTCATACATGTGTAGTTGCTCTTCAAAATGGTGTATTATCATATAGTGGTCAACGATAGATGACTTTTGTAACCAATGTTCATGTCCCCAATACTTGAAAATTTCAACTCGATTCGGATGCCTCTTTTCAAGAATCTTATTTTGAACAAATTCTTTCATTCGTTTGTGGTCATGTAGACATGGTTATTTCGGATGGTTATGCTCGTTCTCATTAGTTTGAATGACTTTTTTTTGTCCTTTTCTTTGTCCTTAGATATGTTTAGTTGAAAAATAAATTAGCCAAAAGAGTTGATGACTTTTCTTCTTTGAACTGCTATGAATTCTTATCTTTATTTGTTTGTTTGGAGCATCGAAATTTACAATTTAATAAACTAAAAGTACCATAAGCACAAGTTTGTCCTTAAAAATAGTTGTTATACTTGATTTGACCTTAATTTTATATAATTAGATACTAGTGGCATTACTTATCTCTCAATTATAAAAAGGCAATAGTGATTACTTTTACCATATATTATTGCTATGGGATATACAAATAATTAAGTATGTGTATGCGCATGCATTTCTAGTGGATGTAGTTCATGCTTGCTTTATTAGTATATGTTCTACCCGAGTTGAATCCTTGAGAATTTTTTCAAACTTCTTGTATTGTTCGATTAGATAGGAACCGAATCTTTTCTATAGTCCTTCTTGCTTGTTTTCAATGCTAATCGGAGAGTGTTGACTCTTCCTTAGGAAACCTTGAGCTCGTACAAAATATTGATAAGTAAGGCCATTGATGTCATAGAAATACTTACTATCCGTACCTCCATGTTGATTGATTGCTTCAACAAACCATTGGTGAAGTTCTTGATTCCATTTTAGCCTAGGCTTTGCATCGATAGACAAAACCAAGTTCATATGTTGATGGTGTAAACCCATTTCGTTTATAGGTGATAGACAAGACTAAAACATAAATATGATTTATGATCCTTTTTAGGTATGCTTGAAAGTGGTGGTAGTTTGTGTAGTTCTCTTTTATAATTTTGGAGAAATGGGAAAATTTATTGAAGTTGTTGGGTTGTCCTAGCTAGTTTCTCACTCCATATCTAAACACATAAGTGGGGAAAATTAATATATGCTATGAGTATGTGGCACTTCCATGCCGAGTTAGATATTCAAATGGTAGGGTATATGTCGACTATATAGGTACATTTTCTTCTTCTTTTTCCTATCCTCTAAGATTAAGTTTCATAAAATGTTGTGTAATTAAAAAATAAATAAAAAAAGAGGAAATTGTTAAAAATTCTAAGTCTAAGCTTTCCCAATTTTATATCAACAACAACACAAAAATTGGGCTTGAAAAACTTTCCTCCTCCCTACTTGGCTCCAGACCATTGTTGGAGATGTTCTTTTGAAAGGTGTTAGCTATGCTTTTTCCTCGGTTGGAATTTTGAATGCCACTTGGATCAAAAGTGGTAAGCTCTATATTAGATTAAAATAAGTAAATTTTAGCTATAGAAAATTTAAACTTGAAGGAGGTCGGTTTTTCAAAATTTGAATAGAAGAAGTCCATTTAAACCGAAAAAGACATTTCTTGTCTTCTACCATGCCATGGTTATATATATATATATATATATATATATATATATATATATATATATATATATATATATATATATTAAAGGATTAACATATGGTTTATTCATGCTAAACTAGAATACTACTCGCTTTATCACTTCCATTTAATAGACATCCATAAAAAGGCTACTCGCTCAAGCCTATTGCCATCATTAATCTTTACTATAGACAATCGCCAAAGCCTACTTCCACCATTGATCCAGACATACTACCACCATAAAAAGACAATTAACACTTAAAATCTCTTCCTAGGACCCATATGGAGTTTGGTTAGTTTCTGCTGAAAGATAGTGAGAGATTTGGAACAAAGTAGGCGATAGTGATATCCACAACAAGTTAGCAATATGTTTTGATGAGGCAAACAGAGGTTAACCCATGCGAGAATTAGCTTATTATTTTCTTTGGGAGTTAGCCTTCTATTTCATAGCTATTTTAGAAACACTCTTTTATTTTTATATTAAGTAATAGAACCGAAGGTTCAATAAAGCTTTTATTAGTTCTCTTGATCTTCTTTCGGTTATGCAACCAAGGAATCAAATATAATAGTTACAAGAACTAAGCAAAACTCATCCAAGGGATAGAGCAATGCAAAGCCTACCGACACCATAAAAGGACAATTAACACTCAAAATCTCTTCTTTTGTTTAAGCATGATCTACAATAAAAGCTTTAATTGTGTATGTCAATTTTGCATTATTATTATAATATCTATATATTTTACATGTTTAATAGGAGAAATTTGACTTTCCCGATATTGCAAACAAATGGATCTTGGCATCTCTAAAGAAGAAGCGAAGGGATTGCAAAGAATTTGATGCCTACTTTATTGAATCCTACTCGGGTATCATATACTATTAATTAAATATTTAACATGTTTTTTGATCTTAAAATATTTTTTTTATGATTTTTTTATATGTATTGATATTATTATTTCTTTTTTCACTTTGAAATTGTGCTTTCGATAGATTCACAATGATGGTAATGGTCAAAATGTTCACTCTCCCAATTGTGTATCACAATCAAGTCATTTGCTTGAAATGAAGTATTTTATATAAAAACATGATGTAATTTGAGGACTTTTTTATCAAGTGTTTAATCCTTTAGTTTTTTTTTCTTCTTGTGGATTTTTTAAGACTTTTATGTATTTAAAAATTGATAATAAAAAATTTAAGACTATTGTGTAAGCTATATAATTTTTCTTTTATTTGCATTCAATATGATGTATTTTTTTTTTGAATTTACTTGTTCTTTGATAAAAAAAATGAAGTAATTAATTGAATTTGAAGGCCAAATAAAACTATAATATTACGAGATAGTCAAATAAACTAAAATTTGAAGCGGTAATAATTGCCTTTATAAATTTGAGATAGTTAAAACTCGCCTCTATAAATTCTAAATTTAGGGCGATTAAAACCGCTTCTATAATTTTAAATTTTGAGGCGATTTCAATCGCCCCAACAATTTAGCATGATATTTAAAAAAAAACGAGATTGTAGAGGCGATTACCCACCAATCAATACTAAAAGAGGTATTCTAGAGGTAGTTATAATCACTTCAAATAAACATTTTGAGGCGACTGTGATCTGTCCCAAAAAACCGTCTCATAATTCCTTGATGGTTGGCAAAATCGTCTCTACACTCTAGAAATGACGTTATTGCATACGGTTTTGAGACAATGCTAAAAATCGTCTCTACAATTTGTAGAGATAGTTATAATCGCCTCCGTAGGACAAAAAAATCACTAGCATGGCACTTTTTTGGTGTAGTGAGGATATGTACCTTGATCAAATGTTTTAAGGCTTTAACCATGGAGAGGCGCCACAAATCATGTTGCAGTGTTTGACTCCTCTATGAGTTATCATTGCACCTAATAGGCGATTGCATCTGCTTATTGCCTAACAATCAAGGTGTGATTCAAATTGCTAAACGTCGTCATCTAAGAAATGGAAAGGACGATACCATTACTTTACTATGCTTAGCATAGATAGAGCAGTGAAGTAACTGCTATCTTACATTATGTAGTACAAGTGACCAGTTTTTTTCCATTGGCTTGGTTTTTAATGTAGCAAGATGAATGACAACTTCAGGCTTCCCTATCGTCGGATTTCCAATCCTAGCAGGAAAAGGGAGGGAAACGGATATTCCCTACTGAGATTTTGATTCCATGAGAAATTGAGCACAAAGCAACAAAATTGGCTGGATTTTTTATAATCTGGATTTAATTTATTAGAAATAGTACTACGAATACGAAAAATTGGGTGATATCCTTTATGCTGACTGCGCTCACTATAGTTCAAAATGTGATGACTAAATCCTTTGTGCCGACTACGCTCACGATAGTTCAAAATGTGATGACTAACTCAGAGAACATATAAGTACCTGCACTCAATCCAAAGCTAAATTTAGCTCATTAACATGGCAGGAAATGGCAATTATGGTGGGGAAAACGTGCAAAGCTAAAGCGCATTAACAGAAACAGTGGATACAAGCTTACAGAAGGGTTTAAAATCAAAATCTTCTGCGGTTTTCACTCCACATGGGTACACTTGTCGGCTATTCGAGGGCTGTGGGTGCACTGCAGGACCTGGGTATATCATTGAGCCCCACATACTACTGCAAGGTGCCCCACAAGGGCTTATTATTAAGAAAGTTCAATTCCCACCTGTCCCTAACTTATGCTAGGGAGAGCCCACTACCACTCCACTTAGAGGTGGATTGGTTATTATAGTGGATTAGTGGTGGACTATACATCATTTCTCACACAACAGAATGATTGCGTTTCTCACACTACAGACTGTTTCAGGGTAAACTATTAGTATTAAAAGTGATTGCCGCATTTCAACATCAGAGTGCCACAAACTAAAGACTGTTTTCATGGGAACTTAAACAACACTAAATAACATATTCAAACAGTACTTGTTTAGAACACACACAAAACCAGATGGCTACATCAGCTAAGCCCTTTTTTGTTATGATATACATATAAATCACTCAATAAAAGAGTGTTGGAATATGGATAGAATAGAACTAGTACATTTGTGCAAATCTGAAAGATCTTGAACCTTTGATGATGTTCGATTATCTATCCAATATTGAAACTCTTTGCGGCCTGAAAAATAAAAATAAAATAAAAGGTCGTTAAAATATTTACAAATGGTTTCCCATGAAAGTATTATACAACAAATTAAGGTGAAGCCATAAACCTCAAGAAAAATGCTAAAAAAAAAAGCTTTACATCAGGGACCGCAATGAAAAACACCAAAAACTAGAGTATCATCGATCTATGGTTGGGCAACAATATATGAACTGCATTTGTTTCATGGGGCAATAACATCAGTCCTCATCCCCTCACCTCTCTAATGGGTCCGGCCCGTATGTGGGAGATCCACCACCTTTGAATTAAAAATAAAGGTGTAAGATGCAGAGTTGTATTTATTGAACAAATGCAGACGGTGCTGCATTCGTTAAGCAAATGCAGATTTATTCACATGCCAAGAACAACCTATAAAATGACATGTTTTGCATTCATCTTGTCGAACAGAAAAAAAGAGAGAAAATCAAAAAGAAAGAGTGGGTGAGGTAGATAAAATTTATGTGCTAAAATTTAAGATAGTATTGTGTCTAAATTTTGATGTTTGCTACAAGACTCTAGTGGTATTAAAGAGACTCTATTTGTACCACCCATTATTAAATAATGAAGGACATACTAGCTTGGTCTCATGGTTTTTACTCTTAAATTTTAAGAAGGTTTTCACCTAATTTTTTTTTTACCTTTTTATTCCTTTATGTTTATTTTAGAGTGAGTTTTGAGGCCACTATCCAACAACCGATATCGAGCTTGAAGTTTCAACCCTTGAAGAAGGCAAAATTAAGAATTAATTTTTGGAAGAAATTACTGCAAGATGGAAGCAAAGATAGGAAAGATGATCTACTTCTATAGCTCAAACTACTAAATATGGAAAAATAAGATGACTAATCTCTTGTATGCGACGAAGTTGCACTTACTAGTGTTTATTATAGCAAAACCCAAAGATAAAACTAATGAAGATTGAAAGTTAGAGTACATGCAAGTGTGTGGTTTTATAAGCTAGTTTATTAAAAACATGTGTATAATCATGTTAATGAAGAAACACATGCTCGAACATTGTGGAACAAGCTTAAGGAGTCTGTATGCTTCCAAAATCGACAACAATAAATTTTTTTATCTAAAAAAGTTAATGCATATGAAATATCAAGAAGGTACTTTTGTACTAGATCATTTGAATGAAATTCAAGGGATAGTGGATTAGTTGTCGAGCATGAGCATAAAGTTTGATAACGAAGTGCTTACTCTTATGATGCTTACCTCTTTGCTAGAGTCTTAAGAGACCTTGAAGATTTCAATTACCACATCTGCTATAAATGGTGTGGTGACCATGGAGTCCGTAAAAGCGAGTGTTCTAAATGAAGAGATGAGATGAAGATCAAAAGGTTTCTCTTTATCATAACTAGATGTCTTAATTGTAGATTTTAAGGGGAGAAGTCAAAGTAGAGATCCAAAGCATAGGGATAAGAGTACGGGAAGATCTAACAAACATGCCAATATTAAGTGTCACTACTACAAGAATAAAGACCACATTAAAAGATTCCGTCAAAAGTACAAAAGAGACTAGGAACAAAATAAAGGCAAAAATGAGAAGAAACATGATGGCAATGATGATGAATAAGCGACTTTCACTAATGAAGTGTTCTTCATTGTATGCAAGGATGAAGTTGTCAATCTTACATCCTAGGAAATATGTTGGGTAGTTGACGATGGTAATTTCATTCATACCACATCACGAAAAAAATTCTTCGATCCTACACACTCGAGAGTCTTTGGTATTGTTAGTATAGGTGTTCAATAACCAATCTATTTTGATGGTTTGATTTATTGTATCATTGTATTCTTATATTAATAAAAAAAGTCTTTCTATTGTTTTTTATTATTTATATTTTGATAGAATTAGATAGAAGTCCATATGATATGCATAGATCGATCAATTGATATGAGACAAATATTGATGTATTTAAATGATATCATTAAATGTTCCAAGTCGTAGTATTATTAAGATTGAACATTGATAGCATATGATAAGACTTGTGAGTGCTATGCTTTTACTATTGATAGCAGTAGGAGATCTCACACTTACCGACATGGTGATGCCAAAGCAAACATTTAGGAGAATAATGTTAGGGAACATATATCACTAGAAGTGACTCACATTGTGGGAACCCATTTGGTTTAATCTATGAGAATCTCATATGAGATGAATACAACTAGTCTTTTGACTTGAAATCATCAATGTTATCTTATTAGAGGATTGTTGTACTTTGATATTTGTTTCGATAGGCGTAGTAAAAAGCTACATGTGGGCGATTCATTGAGTGTATTAGGAATCTAATGGAGATATTTGGATGATTGAGATAGGACATGTCATTCTTTGTATGCTAAAAGAATTATTACATTGCACTTCAATAAATGTCCGCTCAAGGAATCTATGGCCATAGTGAAAGTATACCAATAGAGCATGATTAGTTTACTTATGAGTTAAGACATTTGGAGATCGAAGAAAACTTATGTGATCATAATCAAATAGACTATAAATCAAGTTTGAGATCACACTATAATAAATTAACATAAGAATTGAATTATATGGAAACCATTATACTCGAAAGATATTTTGAATTAATTAATCCTCTTAGAGAATTGAATAGTCATGATGCCTTATTAGAGGTCAATCTTGATTTATGTATCAAGAGATAAAGGAGGTGTTTTTTATCTTCTTGATATATTGCCAACATATCTAGGAGTCTATTGAGCCACATGTATAAGTTTAAATATTCATACGATAAAAGAAAAGCAAAGGTTATCGAAAAAAGTTTTCTATTTTGGAAAGTTTTCAATTTTAGGAAATTAGTTTCCTAAAATGAAAAGTCAATTTTCTATTTTAGAAATTAATTTTCTAATTTGAAAGTTAGTTCTAAATTTAGAAGATAGTTAGCTAAAAAAAATTAATGTTCTAATTTACGTTTAAGGGTATTTTGAGAAATTATTTCCTATTATGGGCTCCACTAAACCCAATTTATTTGAATGATCTAAATTAATTAGTAATTAATTTAGCCAATAGGTGTAATTTAAAAGCCTATAAGATATTTTGATGGAAGGATAAACTTGAGCACTATTGGATAAGGTCGAGGGTTTACAAAGATAAGGTTAGACAAAGCTCACATAGGCAATATTTTCTTAACCTATGAGGAGAAGTTGTCTCCCTTAATGAATAAAGAAGAGATGGATGACAAAGGGTAAGGTAAAAATTGCAACTAACGCACAAAAGAAAAAAAAAGGTTCTTTCTCTCTCTAGGGGTTGTCACATAAAATTCTTGAATTGATTTCTAAAGATAAAAATAAAGTAATTAAAAAAAGATAGAGCTAGCATTCAACATTTTCTAACTTCTTATTGCATGGATGTTTGAGTTGCATGGATAATCAATAGAGATCGGACACTTAGACTATATCTTTTCATATAGATTGTTTTTATACTACAAGAGGTAATCACCGACCATTATCTTATTCATGTTTATTATATATGATTAGTTGATTTAGCGACATTATCTTGGAAATCCTAGATGGAGAAATTTTTTTATTTTGTACATCCATAGGAAGAATGATCCTTCATTTGATATCGAGCCTTTAATTAAATATTATGTTAATTATGATTAACTACATGAGTTATTATTTTTTTAATTATAAATCTAAGGTTTTTGGTATTTTATAATGTTTAGAATTGATTTTTGGGCTAAAAAATAGTAGGCACTTGCCGAGCTAGGCATGCATCAAGCTCGACAAGTGCATACAAAGGCCGAGCATGCCTCACACGCACTAGATGCATGCCGGGCCAAGCATGTGCAAGCACACCAGGCTAGTGCCTTAAGCTAGTGTTGGGCATTTGCCAACTAGCCAACTAATGCTAGTTTTAGGCATTAGCCGATGGCCAACGTCAAGCCATGTGTGCCTCATGCATGCTAGGCACACATAAGGGTAGACATGCCTTGTGTATGCTAGGTCCTCGGCAAGGCTAGGGATGTGCTAAGTGCGCCCGAGGGCAAGCAAGGCGTGTACGGGATATGCATGCCTCGGCATGTCATTCCGATGCTAGGGCCGGGCACGAACAAGCGCACCAAGCTCGTGGTAGCTGTGGGCTAATGCCTAGCTAGGGCATTCAAGCTTGTAAGCCCTCGAGACCCATAAGCCTATAGGACTAAGTCGAGCTCGAAGGATCATGCATCCTATAAATGTGTAAAATAAAATAAAATGTTTCCTCCATTTAAAGGACTCAAGCTCTTACCATTGAATCAACTAATCGGATATTCATGAATTAAAGCATTAAATAAAAAATTACCTCTTGGAGCATAGATTTAAATTCTTTAGTAGAGAAAGGAGTCGTTCAAGCGTCCGACCTCTATTGATGATCCACGCGAGTCTAAGCACCACACAAGAAGCACTTAAAATTGATAAAGTGCTAGCTCCACATTTTTTGAATTTGTTCGGTATTTTACTTTAGAAATCTAATCGGGATAATTTTGAGAAAACCCTAGAGAGAGAGTGAAAGTGGCATATGCTAGGGTTT